TTGTATGATAATTAATAATGAATATACATAAGCCCCCACCTTCTTTGCCCCAACCTCTAACTTGGTGAACCACATTGTAATTAGGTATTTGGAAATTTGAATCGTTTTCAATATTTTTATCATGACGCCATGTTTCGCTAACGCAAATAATGTTAAAACTAATTTTGATTTTATATAAAAACTGTTTTAATGATTCAAAGTTTTTTTAAATACTCCTAATATTAATATGGAGAATTGAAAATGAGTTATCATCCATTCCTTCCGTTATATTTTTTGAGTTTGAGTTATAATATAATGGGTTTATATGTTTAATTACTTCATTATTATTATAAAAATTAAAATCAGGATCCGAACTTTGATGTAAAAGTGTTGAACTATTAATTTCAAATGTTTTAAACTCAAAATCGGATCTGTTAGTTTCGTCAGCCATTTTAAATAAGAATAGTTTTAATAAAAAAAAAAAATATGATTATTCAAATTGATTTCTTAAAATCCTTTACAATTAATTTATCGTAAATAACAGTACAATACTTACCGTTGTTCCTGTGTATTTTTCTTTCTTCGAATAATTTTTTTCGTATTATTGCTATTTCTACCGAATAATCTTCGTTTATAAATATTCCCGAAACTTTAAGTTTGTTTGCATTTTTCAGAATTTTTACTTTCTCTTTATAGTCAAGTAACTTGATCACGATAGCTCTTGGCTTTTCTGTATTACGCTTTCCTGTCCGATGTGCTCTTTCTATTTTTACTCCATTTACATTTAAATTATTTTCAAGTATATTTATTATTTTAATTTCCGAATCATCCCAACTTTCCGACTCGTTTTCAGCAATTCCTTCAAATCTTAAGTTATTTCTTCTTTGCCGATCTTCCAGTTGTCGAATTTTTTCTTTGTCTTCGCTTGCTAAACTTGATTTTGAACAAATTTTTTTCTCTAAGTCACTAACCTTTTTATCATGATTATCTTGATGAAACGATAGACTTTCTTCAATGTCCTTTAAAACTTTTTCGTAATTCAGTAACTGATTGTTTGACTTTGCTTGGTCGAATTTTCTCTTTTCGTTTTCTTTTTTTAAGGATTCGCAAGTGGCTTTAATCAAAGTAATGTCTTTTTGTAATCCGTCGATTTGTTCATTAGTAATTTTTAAGTTTCCACTTATCAATTTCAAAATGTCCTTTTGCTGTTTCTGAAACATCTCCTGAAAAATTTCCTTTACTAGCTGTATTGAGATTTCGGAATCTTTAATTTTATTCATTTTGATATTCAAAATAATTACGATGATAAAAGAAATAACAAGTTAGCTTAAAAAAATAAAAAAAGTTTTTTTTTTTTTTTTCACGCAGGAAAAACACGTCCGTTCACTTCCGTGTAATGAGACGTCTATTGGTTTCTAAAATATATTGAATTCAATATTTAACTACTTTTAATTCCAGTCTATGGCAACGCATAACAATAGTAAATATTTTAATGAATAATTTGTTAACGCCAAATAAATTATATCAAAGATTACATTTGAGTAATTTGTTTCACACCCTAAAAATACTGCTGCGTCAAAGAAACTAAATTATTCTTAAAGTATTTTTCTGTTATAACAATAAAATAAAAAGGAATACTGTCGGAATATATTAATGTCGCAAAAAAAGGTATAGTGTTTCAAATGAATTTAACTGATTTAAATTTTGTGTCGAAAACAAAAAAAGAAATAGTATCGCAAATAAGAAAAATGAAATAAAGTCAAAAAAATGAAATAGTATTGCAAATAGTAAAAAGAATTCATTTTACTATTTGCGATAAGCAAAAAAAGTAAGCAATTGCTGATCTATATGCCAATATATATATAGGAAATATATATATATATATATATATATATATATATATATTGATATTTTACGCCATTGTAACCAACGCATGGTAACTAACGCTATTTTTCATTTTGTTTTTTTTCACTGTAAATATTAAAAAGTAGCTAAACAATGTGGATGAGTTTTTAACTATTGATAAATGTATAAATGCAACTAAACGGTGAACACAAGTGTTTAATTATGCAAATTAAGAATTTTTTAAACATTAAATAAACTTGAAAATGTATTTGCTGACCAATTAAAACCACCTTTTTTTGTAAACTTAAATGTATAATACACTTTATAAATAGGCACTGTCTAAACTTTTTTTTTCTAAACATATTGGCTCACTTTGGGATTAATATGAGCTATAAATGTAATTTGACAATTGACATAAAAAATTCGACAATTTTGAGTTATAACAATTTGGGGGAATTTTGAAGTTTTCAATAATTTGTGTTTTTCTTCAAATATTCATGTATTAAAAATTCTCTAGAAATAATTATTTACAAACCGATTTTCAAGTCTTCAAGTCAATTGTTAACAGAAATCTCTTTAAAAATGACTGTGTTTAATAGCAATTAGAGTCAGGGTTGTAAACACACGTCAGGGTTCTTATACACTCGTAAAAAACGGGTGTATAACAACCCCTCCTCTAAACAACTAATTTTCCTTCATCCAGTCATCGGAAATGGACCTTAATTAGAAAATATGAGAGATCAAGGACTTTTTTATTTTAAGTTGGAAAATAACATTACTACACACCCCTATCAACAACTGTTCGCGTCAGATCTGGTTGGAGCTTTTTACCATACGCAGGCGCATATATTTTTAACACCGCAACTTCAACGATTTTTGATTGAAAACTTATCATTTTGAAAACAAATTTTTTGTTTTTTCAAATTTACAACACTTCTTAATATAACTTTTTTTTATAGTCATTATAAAGAAAGTATCACCAAGTTGGATGTTTTTATTACACTTGTTGAAGTGTGTCCTTCCCTAGAAGAGTTCATTAAAATCACATTTATATACTTTATATGTTTCAATTGTCTAAGTCTGAAAAAAAAGATTTTTAATTTCAATATATACTTGTAACATAATAGTTTGTAAAATTACTCTCAAGTAAGTTTACAATAATCTGACTTCTTTGCACTTTTCTTGCATTTGTTTCTGCTTTGGTTTTTAGAAATATAAAGTTATACCTTTTCACCTGTCCATAAACATTTTTAGAAGCTTCAGATGTGATTCTTACAACTCTTTCTACCGATTTAGAATAGCTTGGCAGATCATTAAGAGAGAGAGTTTATTACCAGTTTGAATGGCTTATGATAGAAAACATGGAATGAATGACATTTAAAGAAACAAAAACTAAAGTAGAAGGCTCAAACTGTATTGAAGGAACCTCAATTAAGTCTGTCTAATCATCATCTCCGAAGTTCAAAGGGATAACTGTCATAACCTAATCTGTAGAATTTGATTAAGAGCACAATCTCTAACAACTTTTTCAT